CCCACCTGTCCGCAGGCATCTGCCTTCCTCCAAATCCCCCTCCTCTGAGAACTTGGAGCGAAGCAGGCAAGCTAGACCCCACACCGGTTTGGGGGAGTTGGGGATGCCGAGTACTCGCTGCCTCTGAACCCCACACAGCGCAGGCACAGACAGGCACCCACGGAACGTCCCACAGACACTGCGGTGAACTCGGTAACGGAACCTGAGGCTGCGCCACGCAGTCGTCATCCACCGAAATGAAGAGAACACATTTCCGACCCAGCCCAGCCGACGGGACCGTACTGGCTGGTGCACACGACTTGTCAGCCATTGACGGATGAAGGGGAATCGGGTCAGCTTGTGGCTTGATGCCCCGACGGCCCACTCCACAGATGGCTGGACTTTGTCCAGGAACCCAGAGGCACCTTGAGGGGGTGGGACGCCTCTGCGTGGTCTCCCGCCTCCGGGGGACCCAGTCTCGTTCCCAGGCCTCCCCGCGATCCGCCCAGCGGAGCAGCCCGGCGACGGCCGCACCCACCTTTATCTGCTTGATCTCATACTGGATCCTCTTGATGGGGTTGCCGTAGATGTCGTTCCCGGAGTCCACCTCCTTCTCACTGACCACTTTGGCCCTGATCACTGCAAAACACAAAGACACAGAGGTGAGCAGAGTCCCCGAGACACCTTCATGGCTCTGAGGACGGGGAAGGGGCAGCAGCGAGGGGCAAGGGCACCCCAGACTCCAGCCGGGCCTCGGTCGAGGGTGTGGGCAGGGAGGTGACAGCGAGACTCCCGGTTCCGGGATTCTTCCAGGAGAACCCTCTGTGGACAGAGCCAAGGCAGAAGCGGATGCAGGCCCCGGCGACCGGCACTCCGAGCGGCCACCTCTTCCTTTCCCTCCAAGGAGCCTGTATCGGTGGCCGGGAAAGCAGACGAGCGACGGGGTGGCCTCAATCCTGACGACGCAGTTAAGGGTGCTGGCATTCACCCCACCTGCCCTCCGCCCACACAGCCCACCGGCACACGCCTCTTCCGGCTGAAGGCAGAGGGCTAGTTAGTACCCGGAAAAGCCCCATCCTATTTGGGTCTGGGGAGTCCTGCATCTCAAAGGTCCATCTTTCCTCATCTGTCCTAAAAGTGTCCCCGGAAAATGTCCTGAGAATGAGTCTTGGAAAGAACACAAATTCTTTCTGGGTCACAGCGTTTTAACCCAAAGGGCATCGCGTCGGGCGAGGCGGCGTTTGCACGGAGACCCGAGGGACAGACGCCGAGGACGGAGGCCCAACGGGAAGAAAGATGATTGTGGACCAGGCTGCGAGATGATGGATGGGGGAAGAGGTCGGGCTGAAAAGGTTCCGGAATGTTCTCCGGAGCCCAAGGCTGCTCCTGAGCCAGGCACCACGGGGCTTGCTGCTGGCAATTAGGCCTGAACGCGGCTCCGCCTCGTAGCCTGACATGTCACGGGTCAGCACTTAGTGCTGTCACTTGGGCAGGGCCCTCTCTTTTTTCATTTGGAGGCTTATCGGCCCGTGGCACAAACTGTGTTAATGGCTTTAAAAGCTTTGCCCTCCCAAACTTGGCTGCGCGGGGTCACTCTCGTGTCACATTAGTGCGAATGTGAGCAAAACAGAAGAAAAAGGAGCTGGTAGCATCACGCGGCCTCCCACTGCCGCCCCGGGCGGGCAGCTCGGGCCTTAGAGACGGCTGCCCAGGGCTGTCTTCTCCTACAGGGCAGGGGGGCCCATCCCCCCGGACCCCAGAAGTACTCTCTAGATCTGGTCTGGTGCCAGAGAACCCACCCCCGCCGCCTCATGGCCTCACCGCCCCACTGAGGTCCAAACCCCATTTTATTTCTTCTTCTGTTGGAGCCGAGTCATGACGGGCCCGTAGGTTCCTGTCTCCCAGGCTAAGCCAGGCCCCCACGTGCAAAGCCACATCTAGGGAAATGCCACCGTGTGGCCCCTCTCAGAACAGAGGGCTTTGCCCTCGGTAACAGGTCACCCAGTTTCCAGCGTCTCCTCTCATGGCTCTGAGAGGAGCTATCTTTTTATAATCATGTCTGTTCCCTGCTTAAACATCTACCTTGGCTGCCCCCACCCTTGGCTGAAATAGAAAATGCTTTGAAACCTGGTGCCAGTCGGTGGCTATTTCGGCTGCCTGGGCGGTCCCCGCTCTCGCTATTCCTCTAACCCGAACCTGCCCGAGGGCGCCCCACCTCTGGACAGGCAAGTTTCTTCCGCCCCAAACGCCATCCTCCCCTTCCTGCCTGGAGAACTTCTATTCACCCTTCAAAACCCAGCTAAAGCAGCACTTTCTTGTCTTCCTCCGGGAAGCCCTGCTTTCCCGCATCCCTGGCCCATGCTCAGTAAATACCTGGCCTGTCTGCTGGGCCTGGCAGAAGATTCCAACAGGCAGAAGTTACATTGTAACAACAGCTTCCGACAGGCAGAGGTTACATTGTAACCACAGAAGGCAGTGCTCAGATCCCAGTAAATGTTTGCCGAGCTGAACAGAGATACTTGGGTTGGCCCCTGAGGGAGGTCTGTCTCGGTCAGCCCGCTGCCAGCTTGATCTAGGCTTTATGGCGACACTACTCAAACTAGTGTGTACAATCAGCAAATGTACCTGGTTAATCGCTCTAAGTTTGCTCTTCTGAGCATCGTCATCGGCTCACCGTGTCAGACGGACCAGAACCGTTCAAGGACACAATGGTCTGGAAGGGGCAATGCTGCCAGATGTCACCACGGCACACCTGATGTTGCGTGCTTTTTGGAACTTTATGGAACTGCTTTTCAGAGGGGCATTCACCTGCACACTGCTTACCACACAGTAGGTGCTCAATAAACAGCAGCCGCACTCAGAAAAATAAGCAAAAACCATTGTGAAGCAGGCAAAAGGTCCCATTCCGTTCCGCACACCGAGGTCCATGTGTCTCTCCTACAAAGGCCACCGAGGCTGCTGGGGGCCGGAGTCCTCATCCAAAAGGGGCCGAGCCAGGCTAGGCTCTGCTTTAGCCCCCTCCCGGCTGTGTGGTCTCGGGGAAGTCCCCCGGCCTCGCCGAGACACAGCACTCACGTCTGAAACGCAGAAATCACCACCAGGACCTGCCTCCGTCAGGCGGTGCTGGGGACCAGGAGCCGTGGCGTGTGTGACTCAGTGCCAGGCACATGGCGTACGTCCAGGTCAGGACGACAGAGTGAGACAGCTATGCCGCGGAGGCTGGTGTGACTTCCTTCTTCCCATCCCGTGGGTGACGGCTGCGTCATGCTCCCTGCTCAGGCCAGAGAGCCCGTCCCGGGGGGCGTGAACCCCAAGTCTGGGTGTGATGCGGCTTTCTGATGCATTTGCTTTGCTTTGGAGCTACAGATCACATACTTGGTCCGGACAGGAGAGACTGGGTGTGTCCCAGGCCCGGGCGACTCGTGCGGCTTAGACCGCTAACTGGCACCAAGGCCACCCACGGCTTGCACGGAAATCAGGGAGGGCCAGGAGGGTCCCCCACTGGGCTAGTCTGTACAGAACGAGAATTCAGAGCCTTCAGGGGTCTCTCTGAATTCTGGGTGGGAATGTGCTACTCGCTTTGCATGAGAGCTAATGAGGCTCAAGAGGCAGAGAAGGACCAGTTCCAGGCAAACCTTCCCCAAAGCATCAACATGAAGAAGAGATGCTGGGCACACACCTGCCCCAAAGATGCCAGGGTCAACACCGCTGACCTGCCCAGGGCATCAGGGACCATTGCAGGGTGGGGGAGGCGGGAACAGCACACACAAAGCTTTGGCAGATGGATTCATCACGGCCAGAGGGGAAACTGGACAAATGGGCCCCATGGGTGGGAGGGGTTTTCCATAACAGACCTCGCCTTCGAGGAGCACGGGCAAGGAGGTGGACGAGGGACAGGACGACAGCACACCGCCAGTGGCGGGCAGGGAGGGACAAGGAGAGTTCTCCAGAAACGCACGTCCTCACGTCCTACACCCAAGGTCACGGGTCCCACTGTGAGCTCTGGAATCCAGGCCACTCCGAGTGGAGGATGGGCCCCTCTGGGTCCCAGGCCGCTTAAGGAACAGGGCTGGGGAAAAGCAAACAGACCCAAAGAGCCTGGGAAGATATTCAAATCCTGTTTACTGAACACCTACTATGTGCCGGGCCCGGGCAGGGGGTCGGCCGTGTCCTGCCCTTCCCCTCTGTCCCACACGGGGACCAGGGCAGCCGCGGGAGGCAGAGTCTTCACAGAGACTCGTGTTCTAAGTGCTTCGCTCCCAAAAATAACGGCCTCTCCCCGGGCCGCTCAGATTTTGTTTTTCCTTCTTTCCCTCTGCCGTTCACACAACATCTGCGTTTGAGATCAAGGGTGATACACTGGCTGATGAATTCACCACCAGATGTTGGCTACTGGAATGCACAACCGTCCACTTAATTCAAAGCACACGCAACCACAGAGCCCCGCCCCCACCCCTGGGCCTCGGACACCACATGATGTCACTTCCCCCCGACAGGAGCCAGCAAAAACAAGCCCTGGTTCAGCCTCCAGATTTGGGATGGAAAAGAACTGGGCGGGTGGAAAGTCAAGGTCACGGACGAGGAGCCGAAGAACACAGGCTCCATCCAGACTGGGAGAGATGACACCCACCCAGGGAAACCAGCCGAGGCCGGCCTGTCCCGCCACTGTCCTGGGGGCGGAAGGGGGCTTGTGGCCTGGGGGCGGGGAGGCAGTCCAGCACACGGTGGGGCTCCGGCCAGCTTAGAGGAGCAGCACACTCAGCCCGCGCTGAGATTCCCATCACCCTCCCACCAACACCTGTGGGTCCTACTGTGTCTGGGGAAGTGGGCGGGGAACTTCTGTGAGCGTCATCTCTGAGAGAACCAGACCCCACAAGAGAACTGCCCTAAGGAGTTCATCTGCTTCCTACACGTTGAATCCCCTTTATCATCCTGCCGTGGGGCCGACTGTGCTCGGGAGACCCCATGCGCCACGTGCATGCGTCGACCCCGTGAGGCATTTCTCCACGGGACTGCCCTGTGGGGCATGGGTGCCCAGCCCCGGAGCACCGGCACACCTGCTGAGACTCAACCGTGACTTGTAGACATTGGCGGCCTTGTCCCCATGCACTCAACACACTCTGACCCCCAGCCCCCAGCCCCCGCTGAGCAGAGCACTGGCGGAGGGAAAAATCACACGTTTGCCCAGAAGAGGTGTGAGAATCCCAGGATTCGGAAAAACCCCCGTCTGATCCAAGGTCAAAATCCGGCCCCGGGTCACCTGAGCCTTCTGTGTGCACTGACTCAGACTGGCAGGGTTGGCTCAGTGTCAGCACAGGCCACCGTCCCGCCTAGTCCAGCCCACCGACTGCAGTGTCCAGCTCGGACCTGGGAGGGGTGCCCAGGGAGGCCGGTGTTAGCCGCGACAGCGCCGCTCTGCTCTTGGAGCTCGCTCACAGCCCTCTGGACCTTCCAGTGACTGACGCATGCTCCTGGCACCCCTCACTGCGGGGAGGGGCACACGGGGGCCTTCGGCCGGCGAGCACGTTTGCCAAAGGCCCTCCTTGGCCCCGGTCGAGAGTGGGTGGGTGGCGGTGCTGTGACCGGCATGGCAGTGGGCCGAGCACTGTGGGCACCGGCTTGAAAGCAGGCACAGCTGCGTGCGGTCACGGGGGGCCGGCGCAGAGAGGACTCTGCATCTCTGAGATGCAAATGGCAGAACTGCAGCTGGAGTGGCGAACGTCCTCCGCGGGCCACTCGGTCCATTTTTCTGTCTCTGGGCAGAATCTGCACGCCAACCATTCCCAAGGGATTCAGAAAAAATGATTTTCTCCCAGATGAAACCCAGCCCCCACTCGCTCCAGGCTGGGCTCCCGACGTGTGCTCCATTCTACTGGGGTGCTTGGGGAGGGCTGGGGGGGTCCACGCTTTTGTTTCCACTCCCCAGAAAAGGGGCGCGGCGAGGTCAGACACTTCCACTCTCAAATCACAGGGCAACCAAAGTCCTCACACATGTCTGCCACTCAGGGTGACGGGGCGCCTGGCCCCACGATTACTGAGGATCTTTAACTGCCTCCATGTAAGTCATCTCAAGGGCTTCAAGGGGCATCATAAAGACGGTTTAGCGCCTCTCCAATGGGACTGCATCTCTCTTTCGGGGGTGGGCTGACCTCCTTGGCTGGGGGGTGGGGGTGTGGTGGACAGTGAGTGACCTAGAAAGGGGATCCTGGACACAGGCTGCTGACCAGCTTGGACACCTCTGGTTTCGAGGCCACGCCCCTAAACTGCACGTGAAAACAGGGTACGGCCGAGCGGCCTGGAGGTGTCACAGGAATGCACGGTGTCGGCGCGGGCTCAGCGTCTGGAAGTCCGAGGGAGCGAGCGTCCGGCCCCGCCGCCCCGCCGG